TCAAAAGTAACGTTGAAAAACTTCAGCACACTCAGGAAAGAGCTACAAAATTCTGAATTATGGATGATGCCAGAGAAGTTCTCCCTGCAGGCTTCATTCAAAAGAATATGAAAAAGCAACTTGATCATGTAATGTGGGTACCTATGAGAAATTTCTGATAAAAGAGTACAGTTCAATTCAGAAGAAAAAGAATGTGAGACAGGGGAGAAAAAAGTTATTATAGCAATCAGTTTGGTCCTAAAATGTAGAGATGTGTGTTTTTTAATATTAAGGTATATTTCTGGAGGTGAGACCCTGAGTTTAGTCGATGGAAAGAGCTGAGACTTCAGAAGGACAAAAATTAGAGGCACGAGATTAGCTTTCATTTATATTAAAGCGATCTTTAAGAACTGAATTTGTGCATCATACTTTTATTTGTTACTTATTACTAGGTCTGGTTACCAAGATATTAAAAAAAAAGAAAATCATAAAGGAAAAGGCACGGGATATAGGGGCTTGCAACAGTTTAACTAAGATGGTTAGCAAGAAATGATGAAAATCCAACACATTACTTGTGTTTTTCAGGAATGCTGTTTAATGTGATTTAAAGGTACCTGACTAACAGCAATAAAAGAATTGCATATTCTACTGAACATAGAGAGAAAAAACATTGTAAAGAAGGATGTTGAGTCAACTGTCAGTTGGTCAGTATTTGGGTTTTGCCGTGATCACGATTTGGTGTGTAGGACCGTATCGACCTTCTCAACTGGTATCAGGGCACCACCTTTCTGGCTGAGTTTAGTTGTAGTGAGAACTCATGACACATGAAAAAAGCATTCAACAAAAGCTCCAAGTCCGTGCATTTTCTCTTCAATTCACAGCAACTAAGAATCCTCCTCACCAGTTGGGCCGAGCAGTTTGCTACTGCAAGATAAGGCCCCGCACAGGTCTGAATCCGTTTTTGTGATGCAAAATTATTCTGAGTCTAATCTTAATGGAACTGTCAAAGTGAAGCTAAACAGGTATTACCTTTGCATCCGCATCATGCAACAAGCCTCTATGCAAACAGAACAAAAGAATAGTGAAGCTTGGTTTTATTAGAAATTGGTCAGGCACCGATGAGACAGAGAGAAGTTTTGTTTTGAATCTCGTTGTTTAAAGTTATCTGTGTTTTAACAGCCTTGTGGTTCCAAACCGAGCTACCTTGCTGTTGTTCCAGGGCTATGTCATTAATAGATAAAGTCCTTAGCCCTTCTCCTATCTCTTGGCAGAAAAGACAGTGCCACCTGCAAATACAGAATTAAAGCAAATGCCACTCAACCACATACAATAATCATCCACCCAAGCTCCAATTTAGTAATGAAACCAATTTTAAAAGAATTGCATATTCTACTGAACATAGAGAGAAAAAACATTGTAAAGAAGGATGTTGAGTCAACTGTCAGTTGGTCAGTATTTGGGTTTTGCCGTGATCACGATTTGGTGTGTAGGACCGTATCGACCGTATCGACCTACGAAAGCCACATTTTCATCTTTTAAGATGACCCACACAGTGAAAACCACAGAAAGGAAAAGTTGGCTTGTTTTGTCCCCTACATCACTCCAGTAAAACCAAGTTGGTTTAAATCAGGACTGCAGAAATCCAGCTAAAGTCAGGGACTGTATGAAGTCATGTCTGATTCCGTCTCTAGCAGGCTATTCTGCATGAAAAAGTCTTGGGTAATCAACAGAGTTCACACTGAAAGGTCAAAAATAACGTTTGCTGTGTGATAGTATAGCTCGCAAACATCTGTATGCATGATACACACTGTGTTTAATTGGTCTGTTGATATGACCTGTCTTCAGTTTTATTAGCTTTCAGTTTTGCCCTATAATAGCCACAATGAGAACACTAAATTTCCAAACAACCCAGCTCTTGTAATCCTGCCATCATCAGTACTGCTTAGCTCTAGATACATCACTGTCTAATTGCCACAAATATATATTTGTTTTTATCATCAGTGGCAGTCCGCAGTCCAATCACCATCTATATAACAGCTAAAAACACAGCCATGAGAAACTGTGGAGCTGACTCAGCTGTTCTAGGAACTCAACACAAAAATTTCCAAATCACTGTACATCCTGCCTGCTGGGTTTCTACAGAGAGAATAAAGAGAGTCAAAATGTTAGAAATGTCTGTGTTTCATCTTACCCATTGCTAACAAGCAAAACCAATCTATTTGAGTTTTTAAAGTGTCTAACTTGAAGAATTTCTTTTTACAGATCCCTAGCAATTTTCCAATGGCAGTACGTGTCCAGCAAAATGAAGCTTCACAAGAGCTTTGGGACCCAAAGGAGTGGGGTCCATGTCTCCCTCAACCCTGCAAACACAGTTGGGATACCAGAATCTTGTCCACAGAGGACTAAGGGTATTATCTGGCCATTACCACAAATACAGTGTTACAATCTTTGGATACCCATTGGAAATTTCATTTAACAGAGTTTTGCAGATTGAGTCCTGGTCCCTGTTCCAATGCTAAAGGCTATTCCAGAAGTCAGGAAGAAGACAGCTGGCCTCAAAAGCCACTTGCACATGAGAAGCCATGAAAGGTGAGAGAGGAGGTGTTTATGCACTCCCAGAACAATTCCAAGATGTGAGGATGAGAGTGCAGCACACAGGATGTGTTGTTCTCTGGTAAGCTTTAGACAGCCACGCACAAGGACCTTAAAAAAGATACAAGTTTTAAAAAAGTCCCTGGACCTGCTTATATGAACAGCATAGACCACATACAAACTGTACTGTTTAATCTCCTGGTACACAACGGCTACTGAATTTAGCAAGAAAGAACCCACAAATAACCACCACAGTTCCTCTCCACTCTATTAAAACACATTACTGGTTACAGACTATTAAAACACATTACTGGTTACAAAAACAGTATTTTCCTGATAGTGCACATATTTTTAGATTTTTCAAAACTGAAGAGGCAAAACAATACGTGATCAGAGAGTTGCTTCAGAAACATGTAAGCTGCTTATAATCATTTCCCCAATATTTGAACACCACAAAGAAGAAATATATGACTGATTACCACTACAGATGATCACAAGTACTGTTTCCTCCTTATTTAAAGCTGTGCAGTTTAACAAGTATTATTTTCTGAATGAGGAAAGACGACTATTTTTCACGTCCTGCCTTCATTCAACACACTTAGTCTGCCCAGTGCCAGTGGGCTCCTTCTGGAAGGGCACTACAAAAGTGATTCATTTGGAAACAAAAAATGTAGTTTTATAAAAACTTTATAGTTTATGTAGTTTTATAAAAACTTGTTTTATTCTGAACCTACTTGATCACTATGACATACAAGAGTATTTGGAAGGTAGCTTAGCTAGTGCACTTGGGCTGACACACATGGTCTCTTCATGGACTCCCCCTCTATCACATTATTTTGATTGTCCCATCAGTATTTTTCTTATTCCAGACTACCACATGCCAGTGTGGTATGACAGGAAAGATACTGCAATTTCTGTAACACTACTAGAAGTTACCACTTTCAGCACTGCCAAAATGTTTGCTTTAAAACAAGTTTCTTTACCTTCACCTTTTATTTGTATTCAAGATAGTTCCACTGTCATTATTAGCTCTAAAGAGTCTAACTTGAGAATGATTCTTGTTGTTTAACCAGGATTGTAATTTATGAATTAAATAATCAAATATTCTGACAGTTTTCCTTTCCAGGCTGTCATTACTCCTGTTTCTTCCTTCAACTATCCTAGTCAAGCATCCCACACAGTACATATTAAAACCATGTAGTTCTTTTTGAAGGAAAGAGCACATAATAATTAAGAAAATGTTGTAAGTATGACTAGTAGCTATACAGATTTGGAATGAAAAAATACATTGAGTAAAAAATTATAAATGGACCATCCTGAGAAAAACTGATAGGAAAAATAACAGTCCCAGTAAACAAAGAAAGCCCAGACTGCAGCACTGCAGCCCTGTCACCACCCTCACTGGCCAGGTTATCAATAGGAGCCCAATGCCAAATGCTTCTAATGCCAGAAGCCTCCTCTCGCCTCACCAGTGCACTCAGCCCCTGGGAGGTTTCAGGGAGGGCATTTTAAATGGCTACAGTCATTAAAAGCCTGAGCCAAAAGTCATAAGCCCCATATACTCTGCTAAACAGTGACCATCATAAAAGCACAAAGAGAGAAGAGACAACCGCCATGACTAAAAGTAAGTTAATGGCCACTGAAACCAGTGACCTGGCCAGGCCACTGGGATATTTCATGGCTTAAAGGCTGACCCAGTGATTGAGCTGTCCCCTGTCTCAGCAAGGCCAGGATTTCACCCCATCATGACTTTCACTTAACTGTAATCATCTCTCTCTTCTACTTTCGGAAATAGATGAGACGTGCTGAGAAAAGCAGCATAACGAAGTGATGACTGTATATCTTTTCCAGCATCAGCATTTTATTAGAGGGATTTGTTTGCCAGCTTATTTTTACAGGAGCTCAAGAGGCCTGACTGCATATTTGAGAGCTTGCGCTGTGCTCCAGTTTTTAATGACAAAATGCCAAAGTTGAACATGCAATGCCAAACATTCCAGAAACCTCCTGCACAATAGCCACTTTAAATGATGTCTTACTTTTCCTGTTCTGTGAGGCATACAGAGTAGCAAAAATGTTCTCGTCTCTTGTTTTTTAAAATGCCACAAGGCACAGTAATGGCAGACAGTTACCACTTCAACATGGGAAAGCAAACAAGCAGACTAGCCCAGCTCTTCAATCCCATGTTTTGCAAAGCTAAAGATCTGCAGCAATTCACACATCTTACCTTTCAAGTACATTAGCATGTACTGTGTATAGAATAGAGAGATACCAAAAATCAACCCCCAATCCATATATACAGTGTTGTAAAACACTGAATCGTGGTTTCCCCCCCCAAAATTGCTTTAAATAGCCAGAAAATCACTGTGAAACTAGTATGTCAAATAGGAATTGAGAAATAGCAACAAACCCCCTTTTGAATGAGGCCAGACTAAAACAAAAAATGTTGAAATTTATTTCATTTGTACTGCACTGCTAGAGATGGTCCCCAGCTGGGGATTAGGTCTCATTGTGCATAGTGCTGGACACAGGCATTGCAAAGCTTGAAGCAGGCAGCAAAATCCACTGCAAAGACACAATAGTCAAAATGTAAGGTCAAGGACAAAATGTTAATACACAAGAAAGGCTGCCCATTATGGTTGGTTCAGTAAGGTAGCAATTAGCATACCGGCTGCACAGTGACTCGTGAGTGTTGTACAGGCAATGTGATAGACCTGAGTTATAAAGAATAATTTGAAAGAGGGTGTGTAACCAACTTTGAGGAGATCCTAATAAAAATGGGAAGAAGCATGTGGGAGTTTGAAAATGTTGATGTAGCCTAGCGCCTTTCAGCACATCTCTCCCATAACTGTCAGTGCAGATGTCATAATGAAGCACTATGACTCACAGCAGAACAAATAAATGCTTCTGAACCTGAAACACAGTGGACCAAAACCAACTAAATTAAGATAATTAGGGAATGACCTCACACCACTGTGCCCCACAAAACCTCCCTGCATTAAGAAGCTCATCTAAAGACAAATTCACTAGATGTCTTTCTAATGACTATTGTCAGCCACTTAAAAGAAATTTCAGCAAGCCACTTCATTCTCCCAAATCAAGGCACTGAGATTTTTTTCAAGTTATTCAAAATACTACCAAATCAGAATGCAAATTTTGTGTTTAGGTGTTTTGTTTTGTGTTTTATAAAGAAATGGATACAAGTGGAGTCATCAGTAAGAAATTGCAAGCTGCTGGAAAACTGAGTCTGTTTGGGCAGAGCAATATATGGGCGATAAAATAAATGAAAAGGTTCTAGTTCATGTAAGGGTTCTCACTTAAATGATGGTTTTTTCCTTCATAAAAAAGAAAAAATAAAAAAGCAAAAGAAGCAGAAATAATGACTGTTATGTCTGATATTCCATATACTGAATTTGAGAAGACATGCATCTCTTACATCCCTCTTGCTCGCAAATTTGTATTTCTTTCATCCTCACATAGAAGAAATTTCCCTTCTTCTCAGTTTTTACCCAGACAAGGCAAAAGTTGTTTTCTGCAAAATCTCCATCTTATCCATTTACCTATTTGAAAGGCGCTTCACCTTTCAGATTTCTAAACTGAGAACTAACAAACACCACCTAGCATGACTGCCTCAAGTTTCAACAACGTGGTACTACTGGACACCCTCACATACACACCTTTAAAGAATACTCACAATTACAGGGCAAGATGAAGGCAAGTTCTGATATGTATTGACATACATAAAAAATAATTTATAAATGGGCATAAGCATATATGCATATAGACATAGAAGCATATATTACACCGTTACACTGTGTTCCAAAGACCTATGAAGAGTAATTTCTTAAGGCAGGTACACGATATGGAGAACACTTTGCAATCAATTTTACTTTACTCATTTTTGTTTTATGGCATAGTCTGATGTTCAATTCCTTCACTTCAATATGAAACTCAAAGTAGACACAAGATACTAAGCAGTACAGTACACAGAGCTCACTATTGCAGTATGATTGAGTTAGGAACTCTTGAAGCAGACTATATGATTATGGATCACTCAACAAAAAAAATCCACCTAAATGATAAGCTATGCTAAGCAAATAAGTTATCTGTATTTTTTCATCAAATAGGTTTAAACTATTTTACAATAAGCTTTTTTTTCTTCTGTCCCACCCCAACAGGAACAGATTATGATGATTACATCCAAGATTTGTTATTCAAGTTCTAATTCATTAATGATAACATACAAAAGCCTTCCTAAATTATAGCCAAGAAAAACAGCCTTGCCCACATAACAATGCAAGGCATTACTTCACATGTCAGGAAGAATCTCAGGGCTTCTACTGCTGTAGAAGCTGTTTTTTCAGATCCTTTATGGTAGCATATCCAGCTATGCAGTATCTGCTCTACTTTTACAAAGCTTTTATAGTTTGATAAAGTTCTTTGCATTCCTTTTTTGTCAGTTTTTAAGTGTCTTTGTTCTTGACACTCATACCATTAATAAAATCATCTTTCCAATTAGCTTTAGAATCCAAATGTGTTACTTTGTTAGGCTTAAAAGTGGCACAACCTTCATATGAATTTGACTTTTTTTCTCAGAAAAAAACTTTTCAAACAATCCCTTATCAGAGATTAAGTTTGTTATTTTCAGTTAGGTTCTTCTTTCTTGTTGTAAAGGCTGCTGGGCATACTGAGATCCTTAATACAAGTCCTATACTACACAAAAGCTTTATACATGGCATCCACAATCATTTGAGAGTTAAAAGTAGAGAGGGACAAAGACACATAGATATTTAAATAGGTTTCGGCACCTTATTCATGTTGTTAACTATGCTTGAACTAAAACTCACCACATGGAATTCTGGAAAGCTCATATGTTAATTTATACACTGTGATTATTTCTGCAGTATGCTCACAACACAAAGTAGTAACATAACACTACTTAGTGTAATGCTACACTTTGAAGTGTACACAACATTACAACACTGCAAAGGTTCTTGTTGGTTTGCTTCACAGTTGCACTGGACAGAAATGTAGTTTCATGCTTGAAACTCAACAAAGATGTTGCAAGAGTCTTCAAACAGACAGCTCCGTGCTTGTGCTAGTGACTCTGGAGCACAGGATTACCACAAAGGTCCTCATGCACCTGCCTGTTTCCAGTGAAAACTCACTGACTAATGCACAAAACATGATCAAAGGGTTTTACATGAAAACAAGACCAAAGTAGAAGTCATAGTGAATAGTGATTTACTAATTCAATCTGCAGCTGTTATCATATAAAATTTAAGTATATGGTCTATTTTCAATCCAGCTTCTACAGGAGAAGTGCTGCAGTTCACTGCCAAAAGAATTCCTGTGTTACAGGTAATGTCTAATGCTGGTTACAAAACACCCAAGTCCAACTTCTTTTTTACTGCAAATAAGGTAACTTCACCGGAGATAACGAATGCAGAACTGACTGCAGCACCAGCAGCTGAACCCAACAAGGGATAAAGGGGAATTTAGACAAACCTCAGACACAACAAGAGCCACGATCACGTGTGGCTTCCAGGAAGACAACTCGTGGGCCAGGTTCCACTAGGTCATTTCTCCTTCCCAAACAGTAACAATGTTTTATTCTTCTCAGAAACCTGACAAGAGTAAACTTGAATGGTTTTTCTTCCAAGGCAAACAAGGAACATGCCTCTTCTTTAACACACATTAGTATAAAAAGAAAATTCTCTTGATAATAACCATGTGGTGATAACTCACCTCATTATTACCAGCGTTTTGTCATTTCAGGATTTCTCATTTCCTTAAAATATCAAAGTAGATAAAATATAAAAGGCCCATTTGTGTAGCACAGCAGTGGTTAAATTTCACTACGGAAGGCAGAAGTAATCCCTCTTTTGCTGTGGTCTACAAACTGCTGTGGTAATTGGCTAAAAGGCTCCCGGTGACTCTTCCTGCGGAAAGGAAACTATTCCCCTCATATCTGCAGGGCAGAAACAGTTGATGTGAACAGTGCCCATTTCTCTTTAGGGTTTTTTTTTGTTCCCAAAATAAAATAGGTATTAAATAACGAACAGGATGGAAGATCTTAGATGCAGGAGGTATTCTGTAGAGGAAGCACCGTGTAAGCACTAAATGACTCTCTTCTACAGGCATCAAACCCTTGTCTTGGGAACAACTGTACATGGGACCCTTCTCTTGACACACACAGACTGGAAGAGTGGGACAGTGTAAGCAAACTCAGCTACACATGAATCCTACTTGCCAAACAGAAATGAAAGAAAGGCTCCCTTATAGAAAAGTAAATAATAAGGGAGTAAACTTTATAACTGAATTCTTCTTTTCCTTAATAACATATATAATCTATTTCCAAATACTACTAATACATTTTTTCCCTACCCTAATTTCAGACACACTAGAACTATTATCTTGGTTTACAAGAAAACAAAAGAACTATGAATTTTCTCCTCATTCCTTCAACCTGCTGGTCAGCCAGGTGTCTACTTGCCACTGCACTGCCCTTGTTACTGTGATATATAACAATAAACATATTTATGCTCTGATCTAGCAGACAAAAGGTGGTCATAGATCAGTTCCCAGTGCATCTGCAGTCCATGAAACCTGTCTGCAACCTTCTAAGGAACATTTCACTTCTCACTTCTACTGAAAATGAAGGTATTTGTTATTCAGATGGCAGCTCAATGTCTCCCCGTCTCTCCTTAAACTTTGAAGAAACTCACATATGCTTAACTTCAATGGCAATAATTGAGCATGAAAGCTGTTAAAATTATATAATTGAAGTATATATGCAGGCTTCTGTATTGTTTTATATCTCTGAGAACACCAAATGAATTACCATTTATGTATGGTAATAAAATAAATTCATTTTCTTCAAAAATTAAGTTTTTTAAGTTTTATCACTGTATACTAAGAAATATTTCTTAACTTATGTACTATTTTCTCTTCACTTGCTTCCAACTAGTGCCAATGAAATTCACATGCGTTTTGCAAAGCACACTAGAAGTTGCAAATCAATTTTTGTTACTACTTTGCTATCACTAGACACCATTTAAATAAATGTAATCAGCCACTTCAGCAAAGGTCATCGTGTTTCTACCATTGAGTGGAAGAAGCTGAAGTCACATGAAACCAAACTGTACAGGGGGGAAAAAAAGGAGTTCTGCAAAGGATGCAACTCTGAAACTTACTTTGCCTTTCATTCTTGTTCCCTACCCCCTATCCCCTCCTCACCTACCCACCGTGACAGTGCAAAACCCATGTGTGCTCCCTCCACCTTTCCCATCGAGGAAGGATAGATCCCCCCTGCAGTTATTCTGGAGTAATGTATGTGTCACATGCAGTCAGCTGCTGGCACTGCTGCCTCTGCTCCCCTCCCAAAGCAGGCTTGGTGCAGCGTATGGCGTTCACTTGGGGTTGTCTTCTCTGCCCAATGACCTTTAGGATAGCTATTCTCCTTGTAGACTTTAATTGAAGACAGTTCTGCAGACAAAAAGGCACCTAATCAATCATGTCAGCTTTCTCCTCTTAGGAAACAAGTCTAAAAGCCAAATTGACCAGTGCACCTGCCAAGGCTGTGCACTGGCAGGAGAGGTCAGCGAGAAACAGAGAAGTGGCTTTGGGAGAAGGATGAAAAAAAGGAAGGTGGCTGATGCTGACAGAGAAATCCAGCTGACTACATTTTGGTATTGTCCCACTGATCACATCATCAGTGACTGGGGGGGGAACAGGAAATCCCAAACAATTTACTTTGCTAGTAAATTAAGACTCTAAGCACATTACCA